ATATATATATATTAATGGACCCCTCCGGTTCCATCATCGGAGAATTGAGCTTTTTGAGCTCTGTTAATTCTAACCCGCTTACAGAAAATTGGGTTCATAGTTGATATTATTTGAGTTTTGAAGATAGACTTTGATTTTTTATTTTGAAGGTGGACCCCTCCGGTTGAAATCTTCAGCCAATTGACCATCATCAAGGAATTGATTTTTTCGAGTCCTGTCAGAGGATTATGTTCATAGTATATATTATTTGAATATATTTAAAAAACTTTAAAACTTGATTTTGAAAATAGGCCGCTCCGGTTGAAACCTTCAGTCAACTCGACCATCATCGGAGAATGATTGAAATTTATATATCATTAAGAGCACTAGTCCTGTCAACTTCAATTCTCATGAGGAGGATCAAACTAGATTAGTGGGGGCTCAATCTTATCAACACCGGTCTATGTAAGGAGGATCAGATTAGCCAGAGTAGAGGTTCAATCTTGTCAACTCCGGTCCTTGTAGGGAGGAGGATCAGGTTGGCCAAAGTATAGGAATTACGACCTCACCCTATTGGCAAGGCAACCCATTGCACGCGCAACATTCTCAGACGTATAAGCATGAATATTTAGAGGCACGTCGAAGCATATGCGGGTGCTTCATACTTGTTAATTTTGAGCGATTTTAATGGGATTTATTATTATTTGCACGAGTGTATTATCATTATGATTTGTGCAAATATTTTCATCTAAGCTTTTGGTTTCCCCTTTGTCCGCTCGTGTGGTTGGGATAGCGGATCCGATGGTGAACATATGCAAAACTTCCCTTTAATCGCCTCAATATCACCTTTTGTCTTCTTTTAGATGCTTGTTGCAGATCTGATGGCGAATATATGCGAAGCTTCCCTTAGAGTGTCTCAGTATCGTCTTCTGTCCGCTTTTAGATGCTTGTTGTGGATCTAGTGGCGAAGTAGACGTTCTAGACTGTGATTGCATATTTGGAATTATATATCTCTCCTATGCTTTGTTCTCATTTGAATGTTCAAGTGGACCCCCCATAAGTTTCATTCGAGCTTGTTAATGAGTCGTCGAGTCCCTTGTGAGTCGCTGATTCAATATATTATTTAATTTATTGCTCTTTTATGACTGATATTCACACAAAATCTGACAACTTTTCGGCAGCCTTCTGATGTCATCCCTATTTTGGGGGCTACATCGAGGGTCTGGGCCTACCCATCACACCAAGTAAGCCTTGTATGCTTGGCTTGCGCCACGACGTTAAAAAGTGTATCCTGCCAAGCAAAGAAATGCGTGTACAAGTTTTAAAAAATACAACAAGATCTTCCGCACGCTAAGAAAAGAGTTTACAAATGTTACCTGTGCAATCTCATACACCTGTAACATATTTCCCCTCCACGTCAAGAAAGACGCGTATAGGTACTTAATTTAGAATTGTTTATTGCATCTTGATCGTCGCGTGCGAGCTTCATCCTACCACACTATGAAAAGCGTATATAGGGCTCTCTTCGACTCGTCAAAATAAATATTTCTGTAGCTTTTTGATTCATCCACTACGTCGCAAGTGCCACGTACGAGTTTCGCCTCACCATACTAAGAAAAGTGTGTATAGGATTGCGCTCGACAAGCCAAATGTACCGCGATAGATATTTTAAAAGTTGCGAGCATTATACCTTTGCAAAGATTTTGGCAGACCTGTACAAGTTTCTCATACAAACTTGCGCCCTCCTTTTCGCACCATAATCATAACAACATTTACTTTCAGCGGAAATTAATATCTAAGCAAGCTCAAGCAAGATTTCTAATGAATAGAAAATCTGGTACCTTCCTCTTTTTTTTTTAACGTGAATGTTTTTGTTGGAGGGTTGAGCAAGTTGAATGCAGGGGAAAAACTTATTTTTTGATGGGAAAATAAGATTCTGTGCGAGGGGATGGGGGGTTCTAGCCTCGGTTTACAGGGTGGATTGGTGGATGTTTGAACACGAGAGATGTTTTGGTTTGTTGTGGCTTTCGGTAAAGAAGAAAGCTTGGAAACAAGATGAGGCCATGGTGGGAGGAGCAGCAGGCAGAGGGAGTTGTGGGAGGAGTAGCAGGTAGAGGGAGTTGCGGGAGGAATATCACACAGAGAGAATGAGTTACACTGGATTTGGCCATCGACGGGAGTAGGAGAGTTGTGGGTGCTTGGGGGTTGCAGGAAAATAACAAGGGGAAGAAGAGAGAGAGAGGATGGAGGAGGCGTTGTGGGGTTGTCAGCAAGAGCCTGGTCGAAGTTTTGCCGGAGAGAGGAGGGAGATGGGCTTGTTGATTCTGCGGGTAGGAGGGCTCGGCGGCAGTAGCTTGATGATCAGAGGTGGGTTGGAGAGGAGGTGAGGTGGTTGCATAAGAGGAACGATGAGAAGAAGGTTGGTCGCCGGAGTCTCACCGGAGTAGGGGAAGAGGAACTTTGGCTTTGGGGCTTTGAGCGGCGGAGGTAGATGCGGGTTGAGCATAAGTGAGATAGATGAAGTGGGATTAGGACTTGCGGCTATAATAGGAGAAAGGGTGCTTCTTAGATTAGTGAAAAAACAAAATTTTAATTCATTTTTTTATATTATTTTAGAAGAGTTTGCAGACTCTCATTGTATGGAGAGGGAGGTGGACACACGGGCAAAAAATTGGTATGAAATGATTAGGTGGTGGCTTGCAAGGGAAGAATGCATATATTTTTTATTTTTAATTTTAATTTATGCCCCAATTTACGTGTTAGCAACTCGTGCATGAAATTCCAATAATTGGATGTCCTCCCTAGGTAAAGTTGATGTTCGGGACATACTCATGCGATCCGTTTTGCAATCAAAGGCCTTTTTAGCGACCTTGTTGACGATCAAGATGATTTGAGCCTGAATTATGTACTTCGTGCCGTCAGCCTACCATTTCACTGTGCTCGTTCCTTTTAACTATAAAAGACTGTTGGCTAATTTCGATGTTTCAAATGCAACAGAGGAGTCTGTTTTCGAAATGGGTATTATTTAGATCAATTTAGGCGATTGTCAAGATGTTCCAGTTGATCGCACAATGTTGCATTTATTGTTTGCTGCTCTCACCATTTTTGATGGACTCATCTTGTGGAATGTATGTTAGGGTCAACAACTATTACTTGTGTTCGAACAGGAGGATAGACCAAGTATTTTTTCCATTTCAGTTGAATTACATTAGGGATCAATTTTAAGCCCATAGCTTTTTGCTTTAGTTTTGGATGCTCTTACTGGACTTTACAGGAGGATATACATTGGTTTATGCTTTTCACTGATGATATCTTTTTTGTGGATAAGAGTAGAAAAAGTGTTCAGGAAAAACTTGAATTATGGAGGTCTACATTAGAGTTTAAATGCCTTTGTTTGAGTAGATAAAAAATTGAATACAAGGATTGCAGCTTAAGCAGTGGTATAGATCTAGTAGTAGAGTTATAATAATGGGTGATCAAATCATTAAAATGTGTGAATGTTTTAGATGCCTTGGGTCTACTGTTCGAAGTGATGTTGATATATATCGGGATGCTATTAGTAGAATTCATGTTGGATGGTTGGAGTGGAGGAATGCATCGTGCCTATTATGTGAAAGAAAAGTACCGCTTGGACATAAAGTAAAATTTTATAAGATGGTGGTGAGACTCGCAATGCTTTATGGCTCAGAATGTTGGCCTTTAAAAGAGAAGCATAAAACCAAGTTAAGTTATGCTGAGATGAGAATGCTTAAGTGGATGAGTGGTTTGACACTTGCGACAAAATGCCAAACAAATGTATCCTTGAAAGGCTTGTAGCTCCAGTGGCATACAAAATTATGGAACGTCTTCTTAGATGGTTTGATCACATTAAACGTCGACCACCTGATGATCCTATTTGGAGACTAAATGCTTTAGTTTCAACTTATATTAAAAAAGGTTGAGGTAGACCTAAACAGTCTTGGCCATATTGTATAAAAAATGACCTTAATTTATTAGAACTAAATAAAAATATGACACTTAATAGGACACAATGTTGAAAAATGATTCATATAGCTGACCCCACGTGGTAGGATAAAAGCTTGTTGTTGTTGTTTATTTTATTTATTTTTCACTGGCACCAAATTCTTCTTTTTGAAGCAAACCCAACACATTTTTTACTTTGACTGCTTTGCTCGTTAAGAAAACTTATCATTATTATCAGAATTTAAAGCTTGATTTAGCCGCCAGCATTATACATATAATTGATTTCATATATTCAATATACACAGTTGTTTGTTCATGCATATGTGATGGGCAGATATGTAATGATGTATTTTTTTACTATTCGTGAAAAGCTACTTTATACACCACTATTCGAGAAAAACTTCTTCTGACGCATGATAATACGATTGAAACAATGCTTTTGGGTTCTAATACTGTTCACATTTCATAGTACTGTTACGTCTTAATGATTCTATTGGTTATAGCATTGGATATCATACCTGAACTACGATATTATCACCAAAATTTTTCGTTGAAAGATAGTACTTCATTGCTGGACGAATTTGATTTTATAATATTTGCTTTTGATGAGAGAATTATCTTGATTCTATTGATGTGAAAATGTAAATTTCATTATCTGATTTATAATAGAAGTGATAAACTTTCTGTTTGATGTATGAACAATCGTTTGATTAAAGTGGTATTTTTCCTTTTTTTTTATTTTTTTTGGCGAAAAGTCATTTGTTTGTTTTGTTATTTGTAGAGCCAACTTCTCACATTCCAAGATAACAAGGATCTAGCTTCTCTTTCTAGTCCAACAAAAAAGCAGAAAAGGATGAAAAAAAATAGAAAAGAGAAAAAGGAGAAAAAAGAGAAAGATGTTGAAAAAGAGAAAAAACTCGATGTCAGTACAACACCCTCAATTCCATTGTTGAGTAGTGCTGATCATTCACCGCAAATGTTGCATCAAAATCAAGATGATGTGGAAGTAACAGAGAGTGATGGCTTAGAGGATCTTTGGAATGACATGTCTTTAGCTATTGAATTTTCGAAGGTATAGTGTTGTAATCGACGTATATTTTTCTTTCTAGATAATTGAACACTTACCATTTAAGAGCTAATATGAATCCTATTTATACATGCCTTATTTTAATTCTTTTTTTTAAATTTCTACTGTTTATCTTTTGTTGGAGTTAACTAAATTTTTTCTGTTGTATTTGTTTCGGTTGCAAGAACAAAGCTTAAGCACACATAAACCCCAAGGTAGTCCCCTAACCTGACCATTTGTATGACGCTAATTTAGTTTTTGAGTATATTATTTCTCAAATTTAGTATATCAATTGTACAATGTTAGTTTTAGAAATTGTAATACAAATTTATCTCAATTTAGTCATCCGACCGTACAAAATTAATCTCAATTTTGTTTTGGAGACACTCTTTTTGATCAATTTTATATTATCAAAGGTCCAAATGGGAGAAATATAATATTGTGGGAGTAAAATGGCCACATACAAATAATGGAGAGATCATTTTAGGATTTAAATATAATCCAATGCTTAGTTTTTTTACACTCAATTGGACACAATGGAGAAAAATGATTCATATAGCTGAACCCATTACAAAGGCTTCTTCTTGTTGTTGTTGTAATGCTCAATTTTTTTTGCGTTTGATATGCGGTGTATTAAAAATAGGTTTATTTGATGCATGAAACTCCAGCTTAGGAGGGGTGTAATGTTCACAACTTTATTATTGCATTGTGAGGATTTCAACCTAATTTTGGTTAAAACCTATCTTTGAGATTGGCCCTTCTGTTAGGATATCCTATGAATAAAAGCATTTGGAAGAACTTGCAGGGTGAAACGTTTATATAGTTTAGGGAGTTTGGCAGCTCAGGCCCTATTTCCCCGCTTTAGTTCTTGATTTTTCTTCCTGGGTGTGTTATGCTGCTTTTTATTATGCCTTGCAGAATATGAATCTTTACATGCTGCAAGCTGAATCTGTTTGGAAATCAGGTGATTCCATCTGCTTGATTCTGATAAGGTTTGGTTGGGTGTTAGAATTTGTAAACACTAGTGCCAGCACCTATCATTGCATAGGCTGAGTAACAAATACACGTCGCCGGATTTGATATGCATGTTGGATAACCCAAATTATTCTTACATTCATTGATGAATATTCTATCTATCTTGTATTTAAGAGTTTTATCTAGCAAGTTATAAGTCAAAGTCAACTAATTATTTAGTTTCATATAGAAACCTAGGTGGCATTCATTTGAACAACTAATTGAAATTTTGTTGATCTCAATAAATGTGTCACAAAGTTGGTGTTAGAGCGAACCGGGATTTGACCATACAACCCAATTTGTAGTCCTAAAATGGTATTCAAGTGCAATTTGATAGTTCATGATTTTGATACGATCCAAAAGCGAAAACAACGGCCAAACAACAAATAAATTGCTATAGATAGGCGGGGAACTCAAATGAGGGCTTATTTTACTAATGCCAATGAAAAAAATTAAGATAGAATGTTGATCTACTGTTCGAGGGATAGATTGTCTCTTCACAAATCCTAGATGCTTTTAGGAACACCGCGACAAAAGGGAAACTGTAGCCAAACAAAACATAACCCAAACCCAAGATGATTAGCCTTAATATAACCCTTCCAAAAACTCTTCAAATTTTCCTCCAAAAACTCTAAAAACTCTCCCCAAAACTCCCCTTAATTTTTTTCCTTTGCATACTTGATTAGAGCCTTAGTGGGACCCTCATGGGGGCTGGCTGCATCAGGGTTTTCCTTCCTCTCTTGCTGAATTGGTCGGCCACTAGAAGACTGGGGTCGGCTGGGTCCAGACCAACCCATCCCCCTCCCTCGGAAGTTTCCACCCCTCTCTCGGAGTGCTAAGGGGGAGCTCTTGGTGATAGATGCTTTCCTCCTCGACACCTTCTCATTTGATCTCATTCCCTTCTAATTTGGCCAACGATTCTGTGATTAACTCTTGGTTAGGGTTTTTAATGTGAGCCGTTAGATGGGTCTTGGATTGCATCTTCAAGAGCCTCTTCATCATTTCCTTCATGCTCCCAAATTGATTTTTTATTTGGTTTTTTATGGAAGAATATCTATCTTCCATGACGGTGAACCTTTCCTCATTTTCCGATATAATTTGCCATATTTCTCCTTCTAACACATCCAGTTTCTTTGCTTTCATTCTTCTAAGATCTCGCTTTGATACTAATTTGATATTATCTGAAACCGTAAACAATGACCAAACATCGAATAAATTGCAATAGAGAGGTGGGGAACTCAAAACAGAGCTGATTTTACTAATACCAACGAAAGCAAATGAGATACAACGTTGATCTACTGTTGAAAAGGTAGATTGTCTCTTCACAAACCCTATATGCCGCTAGAAATACCACAACAACAACAACAACAACAAAGCCTTAATCCCACTACGTGGGGTCGGCTACATGAATCCTTTTTCTCCATTACGTCTTATTTAGTGTCATATTTTCATTTAGTTCTAGTAAATTAAGATCATTTTTAATATAATAAGCCCAAGTCTTCCCAGGTCTACCTCTGCCTTTCTTAACACAAGTCGACCGACCCACCCCGAATTTTAGTGTTATGAAGTGATCCAAAAGCAGTTTTTTTTAATCCACCTTGAAGGCAAGATGCTTCTTTGGGAGGGGATTATTGTTACTCCGGTTAGGAAACAGGTCCAGACATTGCTGTTTTGGACCCAGTCGACCGACCCACCCCGAATTTTAGTGGCCAATTGGGAGGGCGAAAAATTCTAGTTCAGCCACAAAGGATTCCAGTGGGGCCCACTAAGGCTCTAATGACATATTCAAGGAGGAGAAATTATAGGGGGGGGGGGGGGGGAGTTTTGGGGGAGGTTTGAAGAGTTTTTGGAAGGGAAGTTTTGGGGGAGAAATTTTGAAGAGTTTTTGAGAGGGTCATATTAGGGCTAATAACATAGAGTTTGGTCTATGCTTTGTTTGTGCTGTGATTTTTCTTTTCTTATAGTGTTCCTAGCAGTGTCTAGGGTTTGGGGAGAGACGATGTACCTCCGAACAGTAGATCAAAGTTATATCTTGTTTGCTTTCATTAGTATGAGTAAACTCAATTCTCTTTTGATTTCCCCTACCTATTTATTGCGATTTATTCGCTGTTTGGTCGCTGTTTTTTGTTGCAGATTGTATCAATTTTTTTGGGGAAAAGTTTGAAGAGTCTTAGGGGGAAAGTTTGTAGAGTTTTTGGGAGGCTTATATTAGGGCTAATAATCTAGGGTTTGGGTTATATTTTGTTTGGGCTGTAATTTTTTTTCTCGTGGTGTTCCTAGTGGAGTCTAGGATTTTTGGAGAGATGATCTACTTCTCAAACAGTCAATGGTGTACCCTGTTTTCTTTTGTTGTTATTAATAAAATCAGGCCTCTTTTGAGTTCTCCTACCTCTCTATTGCAATTTATTTGTTGTTTGGTCGCTGTTTTCGGTTCCGGATCATATCAAATTTGTGTTAGAGTAGATAGGTCATGACCTATGTCAAAGCCTCTTTGTTTTGTTCAAATGACAATATTTGGCGAAATACATGCAAGAAATGGTAAAAGAAAATTTGGGTGCATGCATGCACGTCAATGCACATGCACACAGGTCATACAAATGCATTGAATCCAGAAAAAAAGAGAAGAAAATAAAAATAAAAATAAAAATATTTACTTGCATGATCCACATCTCAACTTTCACAGATCACACACGTTGCCTCCTTCCATGATTCACTAACATGAAGTTTTTCTCTTGCTCAACCACAACTACAATTATTCTCCCCTGCACGACTTTTACACTTTTAATTGCTCTCACTGTTCTGCACCTAATAATGCACTCCACCTTCACTATCCTCTCACATCAACCAGCTTTAGTAGGACTCTGTACTGTCCCTTATCTCACCCTCCACTTCTCACCATTGCTGAACCACTCATTTCCACGCATGCCAAGCATACAAATTCTAATGCTTGCAGTTTATGCACTCATTTTCATCAACATACAAGATCCCCTTCTATGCTTGCAGCCCCATCCACAGCTTCTCCCCGTTGCCTTTGAATTTATATGACCCTCTCAATGCTTGCTCTCTATCACTCTTCTAATGCAAGATTTGTCTTTCCTAACTCACTTGCAAGAGCACCTATTTTCCCAATATGTTTTTTTTGCATGTAAAAATGGAAAAATTGGTCCTCCCAGCATTTTATCTTACCACTTATCTTCTCTCTGCTTATGATTACTCTTTATCCCCCCTAGCACGTCTGCTTGTGTAAGTCGACAACAATTATATTCTTCTTGAGTTTCTCATCTATCTGAGCTCCATGGTATGTAGCATGCCTCACCCTACAAGGGCAGTGTCAGGAGAAGACTTCAGCATTGCTTGCGGTGTAAATCATGCCTCATCCCACCATGGAATCTTTTGATGGAAGTTTTGTAGTCTTGTTACGAGAAAACCGACAAAAATTAAGGCATGTTACCGCCCCTTTTTTATCTCACTTTTCCTTCCATCTTTATTGCTTTACAATATCTCCACTACATATGAATTGAGAAAAAATTCCCAAATTGTAACTTCTTGAGCATTGGTGGCAGTAAGATTTTGCTGAAATTCTTTATTCATAATGAATGAATCTCTAAAGCTTTAAATTTTTTTTGGTTCAAGGTACATTAAGATTTTCTGAGATTTAAAGTTTGAAAGAAAAAATAAACTTGATGAAATTATGTTTAATACACTCATTTTTAATCAAGTGGCGGAGGCTGCTTAAAATTTAGCTAACAATTTATAACTCTTTGTGACACGGGGAGTCCCGCGTGTTAAGCTGGCTTTTCACCTGCATGCCTGGATCAAATCGGTCTATGCCTTTGCTTGCTTTGTGCTGGCCGGTCCTTTGAGTTCGCTTCTAGTTATACTATTATTATAAATTTGTTTTCGTAGGAGTTAAGGGTTAGTTTTTGTCGTATGTTGTTCGGGCAGCTGAAGGCATCGGTGTCTGCCCTTCGAGGGTTATATCCTAGGATCGA